GCTCAAGAAAGACTACACATCTTTACTAAATTGCTGTAGTTTTAGCAAAATGCAAACTCAACTCCTCATTAGTGAGTCCTTATTTATTTGCAAGGAAATTTAATCCACATGATTTTGATTCATTGACACTTACAGTAATATAAGCAAATAGTGTTTCATAAGTGCTACTTGATTTCTGAGAAGTCTTCGAGCCGCATTTTGCTGTGATCTTTTTTCTTGGGATAAGAAAGTTTATTTTTACAGGTTGAAAAAGGGGAAAGGGCTCAAATTTGAGCAGAAAATGTAGACCCTTATCATGGTAGGAAGGGATGAAAAGAAAACATCTTTGAGACTCATGACAACATAAGTACTGAGGGGTATCCTAGACAGGTAGATTGACCTTGACTTCCAGGTACACACTTTTTGGGTAAAGATTAACCTTTCAGCCAGCTTAAGCCAATAGTGATAAGCAAGCTGATTTGCCTTCCCAATACTATCCTTCGGAAGTCCCGCATAGACGATCAGTGAGTCAATTAGAGATACAAGTCAAACTTATATAAATGGAAAGTTTGCTGATTTTGTGGCAATTATGTAGGTAGTAGGTGAGCTAGAGAGTGAGTCACTTTTGTGTTCTCTATCGACCTGGGTGCCAAAGAGACTCCACCTAAACTGAATGGCTGTCAAGCTTCATCCCAGAGCAGTGACTCACTCACCCTCAAGGCTCACTCAGGGAACAATTTTGGCTCTGAAGACCACTAACCCTGGGAACTCCCCAACTGAGAGGTGGGACTGGTGAGATTTAGAACTGCTGACTTGGAGTTGTGAGTCACGGGTGAGCGCCAACGAGCCAGCATAAATCATGTAAGCACTTGAATTTCAAGGCCATTATTTATAATAGTGGGGTAATAGCCTAACTTTTATGGTAGACATTTATTCACAGATATAAAAATAAAACATTATTAGAATTCTTTATCCTAAATTTAGACATTGAGAATTAAAAATTCAGGATAGCTGATCTCCCCCAGACCATAAATAAAGAGAAGAGTGATACAGCTGCTTCATCTAATATTTTGTTTCGTATTTATGTGACCAAGTATCTGCAGTGGAAAGACACAAAATTTTAAATCAGTAAACCTAGATTAAGACCCAAGTCTGCTGATTACAAATGTTTTGATGCTGGGAAGTGACAAAGCTTTCCATAGCCTCAGTTTTCCCAACTGCTACACAACAAGTTTCGTAGAGGTAATATCACAGTTCATTGATGTGCTTGAAAATCTTTAATTAACCATGAAACACTGTACTCATTTATTCTAAGAAATGTGTGTGCCCATTTTGGGGTCAAGACCTAGAATTGAAGCTTAGTGTAATTAAAACTCAAGCATCTCAAGTTTTTCTTTTTTTATCTGTATAGAAACATTTTTTAAGATGTACAGTATTGCATTTCTATGTCTTTTTAGGCATTAACACTACTGTATATTTGCTTCACACCCCAAATTCACTATTCTCAGTACAAAATACTCCCCCCCAATACCAAGATATCCAATGGCAGTTAGAAGAATAAAACTGCACACAATGAAGGTTCACACTTCCCAGAAGAAAGTCAATTCACTTTCTCTGTGCCAAGTCTCATAAGCTGTGCATTAATCTCTGCAGACTTGATTTCAAAAATGAAACTACATTTAGAAAGGAAACAAATTCTACCAGCCATTTTTTGGAAGCTAAAGTCATTCTGTGTCTTGAATGTTTTAAATTTATTTATTTTTTTGGACAGGGAAAGTTGCATATTTGAACCACATATGAATCCAACTGGAATATGTTAGTTTTGAATGTGCCAGAGATCCTAGAGGGCTTCAAAAATCCAAAGATGTAGTCAGTCACCCTAGCTTTAGGTGATCTGGGTGTCTTGGCTCATGGTAAGGGTACAAAACAAAATGTAGCTAGTTCTTCCACCCTCTCCACAGTCGTCTATCCTCATCCCAGGAGTTTGGCTTACTCTATGGTGCCTGAGTAAGACCACCAGGGGCTGGGAGAAGGTTGGAAGCTGCTGGCTTGAGGAAAAGAATGGAAGAGTGAGTTGAGCACTCAGTGAGTTGAGTGCTTGAGAAAACACGGCTACTCAGCTCAGTTCCAAGATCAGCAATCAATACTTTCCTCCTCTGTTAAGAGGGAATTTGGACTAGATGATTTCAAAGATCTTTTCTAAGTCTAACATTCAATGAGCTATAAAATTCTTGAACTAGGTTGCCATGAATAACCATAATCATTTGGCCCAGAGGAAGACAAATAAATGTAAGATATTTCAATATTTGGAAGTTTGGACAAGAGAAACAAAAACACAAGAAGGAAAAACTCTACCATTTCAAAGCAGTAGTGAATTTGACCTAAAATGGGCTCTGAAGCTGACCAAATTAGCAGCATTGTCTCCCTAAGGCAGACATTTCAGTAGTAAATATGGGAAAATTAGTGTATCAGTCAGGGTTCTCCAGGAAAAAAAAAACAAAAAACAAGAAAATACAGGTACACACACATGTTCACACACATTCACAAACACACACACACACACATACACAATGTTTATTTATTCATTTACTAAATTTTTCCCTTTATATTTTTTTATTTTAAGGAATTGGCTTATCACACAATTGTGGCGGCTGGCAAGTCTGTTTTAGGCAGCTTTATTCATAATGGCCAAATACTGGAACACCCCAACTGTCTTCAGGGGATAAACAGTTAAACACACCAGTATGTCTGTCCATGAGGTGAAGTACCACTCAGCAAGTCAAAAACAACTACTGATACACACGACATCTTGTATCCAAGTAAATCTTGTATCCAAGTAAGTATGCTGAGTGAAGAGAACCAGTTTCAAACCACATACTGTGTGATTCTATTTACATATGTAACATTCTCTAGGTCTGTATACAAGGTTCTTTTGGTTGGGGGCAAGGGGAGGGGAATGTGGCTATAAAGGAACAACACAGGATCTTTGTGGCCACAGAACACTTCTGGGTGTGATATTAAACCATGGTTTTATAAGACGTTACCACCGAAGGGAACTAGGTAAAGGGGACGTGGGATCTCCCTGAATGATTCTTAACAGCTGCTTGTCATCTGTATTTATCAGAATAGAAAGTTTAACTTAAAAATTATAAGTTAACACAGCAAAGAAAATCATAAGCAACTTAAAAATTTAAGTTAACACAGCAAAGAAAATCATAAGCAAAACAAAAAGATAGCCTACAGACCGGGAGAAAATATTTGTAAATGATGTAATTGACAAGGGCTTAATGTCCAAAATATACAAACAACTCTGACAATTCAATAACAACAGCAACAACAACAACAAAATAATCAAAAAATGGGCAGAAGACCTAGATGTTTCTACAAATGGCCAATAGGCACATGAGAAGATGCTCAACATGACTAGTTATTAGAGAAATGCAAATAAAAACAATAATGAGGTACCACCTCATAGGACTCAGAATGGCCATCATTAAAATGTCTACAAATAATAAATGCTGGAAAGAACGTGGAGAAAAAGGAACTTTCTTACACTGTTGAAAGGAGCAGCCAACGAAATACTACTCAGCCATAAAAAAGAATGAAATAATGCCATTTGCAGCAACAGAGATGAGCCTAAAAGATTATCATACTAAGTGAACTAAGTCAGAAAGAGAAAGAAAAATACCATAGGATATCATTTCTATGTGGAACCTAAAATTCAACCACAAATGAATCTATTTACAAAACAAAAACAGACTCACAAATTAAAAGAGCAGACTTATGGTTGGCAAGGGGTAGAGGGATGGGGGCAGGGAAGGACTGGAAGTTGGGGATTAGCAGGTACAAACTATTATGTACAAGATGCATAAACAACAAGGACCTACTTATAACACAGTGAACTGTATTCAGTATCTTGTGATAAACTGTAATGGAAGTGTTAGTCACTCAGTCTTGTCCAACTCTTTGTGATGCCATGGACTGTAGCTTGAAGGCTCCTCCACCCATGGGGGTTCTCCAGGCAAGAATACTGGAATGGGTTGCCATTCCCTTCTCCAGGAGACCTTCCTGACCCAGGAATTGAACCCAGGTCTCCTGCATTGCAGGTGGGTTCTTTGCCAGCTGAGTCACCAGGGAAACCCCCAAAATATTTGAAGTGTTTATTTAATGCTGGAAATTCACCCTAGGGGACAGAAGGATGTGAGAGGAAAAGGCACCGTAATTAAGCTATCCTTGGAAATGATGAGGTTTTTTGGTGGTTTTTTTTTCCTCTCTCTCTCAAACACCTGTAATGTAATGTAATGACTACATTAAAGTCACTTTACTTTTTTTTTGTTAGCATTATGGGAGTTTTATTTGGAAGTGAACTTTTTAAACTATTAATACAAATGCCAAGAGATACTACACAAAACATCCACAGGATTTTTTTTCATCTTTTTTTCTTTGAATTGTTCACAAACATTTCCTACACAATCCAACATACAACAGAGAAATGGTACATCTTTTTCTTCCAATTTGCATACAATGGAAAAACAAGAATATATATATATTTTACAAAGTTTAACTAATAGACACTACCAAGCTGACAGTTTAAGTCTATATTTGAGAAATTATCTAATAAAAAAAATCAGAATTTATTTAGCATCAGTCACTTCCATAACCAAGTATTATTCTGATTAATAAAACTTGTCATTAACCTTCTGGTATAAACTTATACCACTATTCCATCGGTTGTGTTGCTCCCCACCTTGGTTCTTCAGAATTACTCCCCAGCTTATTATAAGCATGAATGTGTGGTGGAATTTCCTCCCAAGCAATGAACTTCAAATCATTAAGAATCACCTGAACTGAGTATTGTCAAGATATTTTGCCTAAGTCCAAGAAGAGATACCATTTATTTATATCCAATAGAGGACTGAAAATTAAACTTAGTGTTACGTTTGGGGGTAGGTTGGAGGGAATTCAGCCATTTGAAAAATGACCATCTTAAAAAAAAATGACCACCAAAAAAAAATGACCACCACTAAATTTATTTTAAAAATCATAAAACGTTTCTTACAAAAGAGCATTACATTCTGCACACTGCTCTGAATAGATGCCAGGGACATACGGACTACTGTTACTTTTCCTCCCTGTCCCACCACCCCAAATGTCACAGTGACCACAAAGCAAAGTGTTCACAATAATTACAAGGGGGGACTTCTTTAAACCACCAACAATGAACAAAAACTAAAATTCACTCACTCTGCTGCTGTTTCAAAATTTCAATGTTAGTTTTTGCACACCCTCCCCCACCCCCCACCCTGTTTGTAAGGAACTAAAACATTACATCTGGTGAACAGCAAAGATTTCACTACACCTCAAATGCAAAACACCTATGAAGCAGAGGAATGTTGGCTTTTTAAACAGAAGCAGATAAAAAAAAAAGATGCAGGACTCCTTCAGTTCTTCACTAGTCTTAGAAAAACTTTCCAGAATACTGCTTCACACTATAAAAAAGAAAAAATATCTTGCATTAGAATCCTTCAACATCTGCATACTGCTTCACACTGTTCTGCAGCAAATACTGTGCATTCTGTATCTGGTCCTGTGTTCCTGTAACGGTAATGATCCGATCTTCAGATCCTTCTAAAGGCTCATCAATTTTGATCGAAGCTCCTGACTCATAATGGATTTGTTTAATCCGCTGACCACCTTTGCCAATAATAGATCCAGCCAAATCTTTGGGAATAGTTACTTGTGTAGTAATAATAGGTCCACCAAGATCACCATATGAGCCACGACCCCCTGCATAGGAATAATCATATCCAGAGCCACCCTGTGGTTCATAAGCCATCTGCCACTCTGATGGGCTCCATGTATCTATTGCAAAGTCCCAGGTTTCATCAGCACTGAAAGCAACCATGCTATCGTAACGGTCTCCAGGTCTTCCTCTTCTGTCATAGGCCATTAGATCTCCTCCTCTAGGTGGTGGTGGTGGTGGAAGAGGAAGATTCTGAGCTCTACTACCCTCCCGGCCACCTCGCCCGGGAAGGGGTGGAGGAGGTCCTCGACGAGGGCTCATATCATCATAATCTCTTCTGGAGGGAGGCGTGGGACGCCCACCCCGACCAGGTGGCATTCTGTCAAAACCACTTCATCCCCGCATGGGAAATCCCACAGGACGTCCACGGCGGTCATCAAACATCATTGTAAAACCACCATAGTCATAGGTCTCATCATAAAAATTGGGATCGTAAGGCTGAGCACGTCCTTTGATGGGAGACTCTGATATAAGATCAAGGATGATCTTTATGCACTCTACAACCCTATCAGGTTTTCCTCCGATAAGAACGACTCTGTCAGTAGATTGAGGACAACATTCCTGGAAAAGCTTGATTGTTGTCTGAGTGTTCTCTCGAAGTTCTTTGATTTTAGCACCTTTGACTCCAATAATTCCTCCTGCCAGACTCTGATGAATCAACAGTCTCAACTCGCAGTCAAAGTCGCTTCCTTTATAGTGTTGGTAATTTAAGCATTCCACAGCATCAGATTCGAGCGGGAGCTGGCTGGTTGCAGTGGGTGATGGCAACTGCAGGCCCTCTTCCAAGGTAGGGATGATTTTCTTCAGAATTTCTCCAATCGTTTCAATATCAGCACTGATACTCAATATGCGCTCGGGGCCACTGCTGTCTGGGACTGAAACACTGGCATTGTAGTCTGTACGGAGAGCCTTAATATTCTTGCCTCCTTTTCCAATCACTGCTCCAGCATTCTTGCTCTGAAGCAGAATGCGTAATTCAACCATCTCATCAGTGTTTCTAGATCTTTTAAAAGCTTGTTCCTCTTCCATATCTTCAGCAGGGCGTTTACCAAATTCTCCATTGGTTTCGGTGTTGGGAAAGGTTTCCTCTGGCTGTTCAGTTTCCATTTTCTTGTATTCAAGGGACACACCAATCCGTTATTAAATATATCCTTCCAGGGCAGAACTGAAGTGTTCTGGGCGGGACCAACTCACACCCTAGTGCTGTAGTAGCCTCTCCTCAGCCCGATCCGACAGGAAATCCAGTTGAGCTATTTCAAATCCTGAAAGATGATGCTGTTAAAGTGCTACACTCAATATGCCAGCAAATTTGGAACATGCAGCAGCGGCCACAGGACTGGAAAAGGTCAGTTTTCATTCCAATCCCAAGGATAGGCAATGCCAAAGAATGCTCAAACTATCACACAATTGTACTCATCTCACATGCTAGTAAAGTAAT